GGGCAGGGCCCCAGCCCTCACAGGCGGCCCCCGGGCGTCAGGCCGCCGTCCCCTCCCGCGGGAGGAAGCCCCTGGTGGGTCGGCACCGCGCCTCCAGCCCCGCCGGTGACCCTCGGGAGCGTCGCCCGCCCCAACGGAAGTGACAGAAAACAGCACGGTTCTGGAAAACACAGAAATGTGCGTCCGGGGTTGAACAGCTGGGAGTCTGGTCAGAGACCCAGGGGTGGGAACATGCCCAGACCCCCGCCTCAGAGGCCCGACAGCCACCTGCCGGGGGTGCCCCGGGGAGAGGCCGCCTGCCAGCCCGGCAGGCCTCCATGAACACCACCCTCGATACGCAGGGAAGACCAAGGCCCGCACCTGAGAAGGGGGGAAATTTCTTCCTAGGGCCTGCGGAGAGCCCAGCTGGCAGACCGAAGGACGACGTTTGAATATGCGTGTTGTCGTGTAAGTCTGCTCCCTGCGCACACGCGGGGGGAAGCGAAGCCAGCGCAGGGAGTGTTGCTGGGACTAGCTCTGGAAGGGGAGGCAGCCTCAGCCCGAGCTATACTGGTGTGACGTGGCCCTTCAAAGGTGCAGGCTGCACCCGCCATCCTGACACCTGGCTCAGTCTATGCTAGCCTGCGGATGCTGTTCACTACTTTGGGCAGTGTCCATGTAGCCTCAGGCTCCTCGTTTCCACAGCTAAACATGGTGACCACGGCCATTCGGCCCAAACACCTCCAACACAGGCATATACAGACAGAAGAATTCCAAAAGTGGGTCAGGATGTGTCTTTGAAAAGCTACTTTTTCAGTCCAAAAAGATTTCAAGAGTCCAAGTCTACCTCCTGTAGGATGGGGTAGGTCATCTCCATGTTGAAAACACCTAGATCATCTCAGTTCACAGGCCTTCAGGTAAAAGGTAAGTAGACGTGCCACGCAAGAACTCGGTCTCTCTCCCTCTCCTCGCCAAAGCACACAAGCAGGTGTTCAGCTTTCAGCCTCAAAATACACACCCACTGGCAACAGCAAATGTATAACATACGCATGCAAAATGAGTAGTTGGCAAAACAGCACCATGTGTATGCTCGTAAGATTCTAGTAACTAATGATATTATGTATACACAGATGCTTTTCATGTTCAAGTAGTCATAAATATAACCCACTTGGGGAATCAAATAGTTAAAAAATCTAGACAAAAGAATTTACACACAGGATTGAATGACCTGATTCAGAAGTTCTTGCCAACCTTGGGCTTCAGAGGAAAGTGCAGGAAATTATGCAGTGGACAAATATGGGATAATCTGAACCTAAATTTCATCTCAGTGTGACAGTTATAAGGTGGTTTAAACTCTGTAGCTTTCCAAAATATTTTCTGTGTTTACTGTTTTAATTCTGGGTATTCCTGCTATCTTTCTTACACCTTTTTTTCCACTCAAATTTCACTTCTCTCTTCAAACCGTTCTAGCTTCTTGGCTTTGTCAATGCAGTGTTGAAATAGGTATCACAAATTAAGCACATACTATGGGTAAAGTGTTTTTTTGTCTCATTTGAATTTGCCAACTTATGACTTCATTAACTGATGAAGACTTTCTAATTTTAAATTATGATACATGGAGGAAGGCATGACCTGATCCCAATTCATAATATTGGTGGTGACTTTTTAATCTACCTATCCTTTGCCATTTCTCTCTTGAGATTTTTCCAGAGCAGATTTAATGGAACAAATCCTGTTTGCGTTCTGAAGTAAACATTTTCCATTTTTAAATCCCTCCTTGGATGTTTTCCATGCTTTTTGCACAGATTTTTTTGAAATTTGATAAACAATCTTTGATATATTCTCATTAGAATTCTGTATTACTTTACTTCCCACTATTTATTTGCTCAAACTTACTGATTTTGGATGCACAAATTAGCTGTAATGATGACCAGGTTTGTCTTCAGTTGATTTAGTCAATTAAGAACTGATTAGTGAGGGTAAGTAGCTGTTGTGGTTTAACCCCAGCCAGCAACTAAGCACCACGCAGCCGCTCACTCTCCCCTGTGGGATGGGGGAGAGAATCAGAAAAAAGGTAAAACTCGTGGGGTGAGATAAGAACAGTTTAATAGGACAGAAAGGAAGAAAATAATAATGATAATAATAACAATAATAAAATGTCAATAATAATAATAAAAGGATTGGAATATACAAAACAAGTGATGCATAATGCAATTGCTTGCCACTCACCGACCGATGCCCAGTCAGTTCCTGAGCAGCAATCCCCCCCCCTCCTTCCCCCCAGTTTATATACCGGGCATGACATCACATGGTATGGAATATCCCTTTGGCCAGTTTGGGTCAGGTGCCCTGGCTGTGTCCCCTCCCAACTTCTTGTGCCCCTCCAGCATTCTTGCTGGCTGGGCATGAGAAGCTGAAAAATCCTTGACTCAGTCTAAACACTACTTAGCAACAACTGAAAACATCAGTGTGTTATCAACATTCTTCTCATTCTGAACCCAAACCTTAACACTGTACCAGCTACTAAGAAGAAAACCAACTCTATCCCAGCCCAAACCAGGACAGTAGCTCAATGTTTTTGCTCTAATACTGTGGGGTTCATTTATGAGCATACAATTCCTCTGGCTATCACACTACCCATTCACTCAATTGAAGAGAAATTTCTGAATATCTTCATAATCCTTTTTGGATTTGAATAAACTAAACATTTTGTGTCATTTTCAAGTTTCGCCATTCCACACTTGTCTGTATTTCCTGACCATTTATGAATGTATTAAGCACAAAACTTATTGCAGAACTTTCATAAACACCCCACTGATTTCTTTTTGCCATACTAAAGAAAACTTGCTCTTTGTTTCTGTTTCCCATGTTTTGATCTATGGAGATATTTTGTTCCTTAATCTATAACTACTTCATACCCTTGATAGTTCCTGTGTGACAATTTTTCAGCAGCGTTTTCAAAATGTGTTTGTTTTGTTAATTTTTTTAATCTGTTTTTGTAATTACATGTTCCAGGAATTGCAATAAATTAGTTGAAACGTAATTTCCTTTTCATAAGTTTTCTATTGTTATTCTTTTAATCATGATTTCTGTCAATTTACCATGTGTATATTTGTGGTTTACTAGTCGGTATTTTCTGAATCACTGTAAGATCCTTTACTTAAATTTGATAAAATGTCAGCTATTTTCAAAGCATTAAGTACAGTATCTGTGCTTAATTAGAAATACTGTACTTTTAGAGTGGCAAAATTATTTCATCTAATATTTCAACTCTGGCTAGCACCTTTTGACCCCCCAAATCCCAAAATTATTCATAAGACAGATTTTGTCTACATACAGAAGTGTAGTCAATGGAACTGAATTATACATTTTACATTAATTAGTAATTAATTATACATTAATTGCATTATCTAAATCAGCTTTTTAAATCAATTATGACTGCTTTATCAATTTAGCTCAACTTTGCTGTTGTTCAAGTACGGTCTGAAATCAACCTTCCTAATAAATTTTAAGACAGTCAGATCAAGATCTTTTGTATTGTAGGTGAGCACATCATTATATTTCATATTCGTTCTCAAGCTTCATAGGCGGTTCTCCTTTATTCACTCTAGTTCCAAACCATCAGCAGTGGTATACTGTTACTACAAAAATGAGTGGTTTTCCTGGCCTTCTTCATGATTGATATCATCTATGTGTATTTATTTTCTAGGTTCCTATGGCACAAGTAGATATTCAATACCTTATAAAGCCGAATGGGTTTTATTTCCTATTTCCAGAAATACAAGGTGAGGCTTTTACAAGAATTATTTTTCTCATGCAGTGTTCTATAATGATTTTTTTTGTTACAAAATTAAGCTATCCAATGTGGGAACATTTGTATGATATGAAAAGTTGTAGTGCTCTGAAAATAATATAATGACTTATCAGCTACACTATCACAGGGGAAGGTCATCTACTATGAAATGCTGCAAGAATTACTTATTATGAGCCTTGCAGAATCATGAGATCAGCTTTATACTTCAGAATAGTTAAATGCCAGATGATAACTTAAAATCCTAAGGAAGGAGAATCTGTTAAAAAAATTAACAACTTAAATTCTGCTTGTCCTTCTGCCCTGTCTTCACTTAATGCTCCCAACACACTTTGCAAGAGCAAAATGTTTAGACAACAGACTTCTATAAAGTACTTGCACACTATTTTAGGTTTATAGTATGTAGTAATCAGTGATGTATTCAAGGATAAATGCAAGTAAACAGAATTTAGCTGTGTCTAAATTGAACAACACAGTGTCTATGCACTTTTTGTGCTTTCATCTGGGCATGTATATCTATTATTCTATTTACTACTCTAGGAATAGGACAGAAGATGCTTTCAAAAGACATGGTGTAGAATGGATTACGTAAGTCTTGTGGAAAGAACTAGAAGATGTCTATTTGGCACATCTGAAGCAGTTGGAGTTTTGCACTGCTACTGCAAAATAAATGATTCATATTAAGCCTCTGACTGTACAGTTCAGTAGTCAGCGAAGGAAAACAGGTGTCATGAACACAGGCTGAAGCGGAAGTTTATATTTCTGTTATAAAAACATGAAAATTCTGTTGTGAATATTTAGAAGTCTTTGTGTGAAAACTTGATTCTATATTCCTGAAAAGCACTGGTATATTTATTTTGTGTTCTGAAAAGGACCGGTTTGTGATGACCTTGTGTATTGTTCCATTTAATCCTCTGCAGAAGCAAAACTATAACCCAAACTGCAGTGTTGAAGGACACACACACATCTTAAAGGGAGATGACTACCCTGCTTATCTGAGTTTAGTTTATCCAAACTCAGTGTACTTTTTGCTATAACAGACTAATTGGACTCTGTACAATA